CTGCTACTGCTGCTGCCACTGCCACTGCCACTGCCACTTTTGCCACTTTTGCCACTGCCACTACTACTACTACTACTACTACTACTACTCCCGCTGCTGCTTCTATTGCTACTGCTACTGCCGCTGCTGCTACTGCTACTACCTCAAAACTGATGCTTCGAAGGCCATGCTTCTTCACACAAGGTATTGCAGAGTGAAGTGACCTGTCTTCGAAACGGCATACTTGAGGACAGAAAGTTACATTGTGCTGCAGAGCACCGCATCACGTTGGTACTGTCATCCTTACTGAACCCCGGCAAGCTTATTGCCAGTTGTAGCCCATGGCCATGATTCAGGCCAACAGAAGTTGTTACTTCCACTGATATTCGAGGCTCACCATTCCTTCCATTATTCATCCTGGACAACTGTTCCAAGCTCCATGGTCAGATATGTCGCGGTGAGGTTGCTGAACTCGTATCACTACCAGCACCTTGCGTGGATAGCATATCTTCTTCAGTGCCATCCCTTTAACCAGTGTCACTGGTATGTGGCCTTGTGACATGTAGGCGATGGGGCAGTCCACCTCGTCCGGATCCAAGATCCTTGCAGCCGGGATCGGCCGCAGTATCCGTGCAAGGCAACGCGGTACTCATAACTCTGCAGTGTCTACATAGTGAACAAAGGATGTATTTCTATTTCAAAAAAGAAATAAAGATGCACGTGTGTATGTACGTACATGTATGTGTATATATATATATATGTATGTATATATCATACGAACGTAGCATGTATGCCAGAGCGAGAGCGAGAAAGATGGACACACAGATCTTTGGGCATGATGCATCAGGGTACCTTGGCCACTAGATGCCCCGCGATTATGGCGGCCCATGCCAGATGGGACTTGGTACCTTTGCCGGAGCGAGCCGAGATGCATGAACGGCACCTCATAGAACTTGTCCTTTCGATGGTGTCGATCACCTGGATTGCAATAAGTTGGTGACTCATGCAGCAGACTTGGACGACTCAAAGAGCCGACATGGCATTCTGAGAATGTGATAACTCCCGTGATACCGCTCAGCCGAGGCACCCCACTTCCACTGCATTACCAGCTCCTCACTCTCCTTCTCCAAGACCTGCATGCCATGACTACCGGAATTGGCTGCTGGTAGAGTTGGAGAGGTTTGGGTGGTTATCTTATAGCAGAGCATGAGACTGAATCATGCTGCTTGTGGCAAGCTTTCTTGGACGGAGTGAACAAAATTAGGGTGTCGTGCTGGCTGCACCCGTCATATACCCTTCATTATGCATCTTCCTCCGACTGAAACGGCAGTAAGGCAGCCTCCTCTCCGAACTTCAACAGTTCGTAGGGAAGCCTGGGCATCGCTTCTTGAGGCTTCCAGAAATCGGACCCAGTACATCTGACTAAAATCGCATGCTTCCTAAGCTCAAGGGGCTCGTGCAGCTCACCTTTCAACCATCATTTACCAATCCGAACCCTCAACCCTAAACCCTAAACTCAATGAACCCTGAACTGCCCCAAACCCTGAAAACCCGAACCCATGGAAACCCCAAGGCCGCAGACCGAAACTGTGAAACCCTTCTTTCGGGGCCTTAATTATTAGAATAGGGTTTTGGGGTATATATGGGTATATTATAGTATATAGTATAATCAGAATAACGAACTATAATTACAATCAGGAACCCCCAAAATAATGTAGGTAATTACTGTATTAAGGTCACATTACCAAACTCCAAAAACGACCTTCGGCCGCCCAGCTGCGAAATCGAGGCTCCGAAGCGAGGCACAAAGTGGATACCTCGCACTCGACCCCATTCGTAGGTAGTATTATTGGGGGTACCCCTTAAAGGGTACCCCTTCTGAACCCTACTTTTGGCTCTCTTAAAAAGGGACCTTATTGAGAGGGTCTATATCTGCAAGGGTTCCCCCAATCCTAGCTCCCCATTCGTTGCAATAGTAACACTAGCCGCGATGAGCCTAAGAAGGCGCGAGGGGCGAAACTACAGCGAGTACGGTGTCACTGAGACTACCAAAACTGGACTGGCGATGATCGGAGTATAAGACCTTGATAATCACCTTATGAAAACTCTGTGGGGGAAACGAAACTCTCACTTTTCCGACGCGCTGGGTAAAGCTAAGTGCTACAATAAGAGTTCGTCTTAGGCGGCCCGGTGAAGCTTCTTAAGCAGGGGACATGCGAAGATCTGCTCGAAGCCGAATCATAGGGCTTACGGTCCCTCCTATTCATGCTACTCTTGCCCTTTATCTGCAGATGATGCTACTGAAGCCCTGCGGGGCCTGAGAAGACGCTTTCACTGAGAACTCTCGCCAGGTTCCTGTCAGGGGGTTCTTGGGTTCTTGACGTGAGGCCTTTGTAGACTTGTAGCATTCTCCCTAAAGACTCTACAGCGGGGGAGTAGAAGGAAAGATAAGGCCAAATCCAGTTACACGATTCAATGCGCAAATGCCTCTGCTACAAAAATATAAGTTAAGTAAATGTAATGTAAGCGTTTTTGTCTTCTAAACAAACTGAGCAAACTCCAAGACCCCAAGCCCTAATCTCCAAGACCCCACCGCAACAGGAACCAACGCTGCATCTACGAATCTACAACTTGGGAGTTTGCACCTCTTCGACTTCTAGCACAGTTTTCATTCGTTCTGATAGCTACTACTGCTGCTGCTGCTGGCATCGCTGCTGTCGTTGTCGTCGTCGCTGTCGCTGATGTCGTCTTCGTGGTCGTCGCTGCCATCGTCGTCGTCGTCGTCGTCGTCGTCGTGGATAACGGTGTCGTCGTTGTCGTGGTTGCGCTTGCGGTGGCGGTTGTGGTTGTTGTTGTTGTTGTTGCTGTGGCTGCTGTTGGCTTTAATGCTGGTGTTGCTGTTGCTGTTGCTGTCGTCGTTGTTGTCGTTGCTTTGGTTACTGCTCCTGTTGTTGTTGCTGTTGCAGCAGCCTAATTTTTGATTGTCGTCTGTTGCTTGTTGCTTGTTGTTTGTT